TATCGCACAGGTGGTGACTGTAAACGTGACTTGGCTGTCCATCGATAATGAGGCAGCCCATATCCTCACAATTTCCTGTTCGCAACATCAAATCAATGTGAATAGATGGCCATTTCTTCGGATATCAATGAAAACAAAACTCACCGTAAAATATCCCACAAGCGAATTATGATATTCTCTTACAAAGTCTAACTGAGTGGATGTTCAGAATGTATGAATTCCTATTCACTTTTGGTGACAGACATCAATGAGTTTTTCACAAACAGGAAATCATTTATCACTTAGATGATTGAATGCAACTGCCGTATCTGCAGGGATTCCGACCACTCTCCATTTGAATTCTTGTTTGCTATATTTATGTGTGAATCTATATGAGCAACTTAGCTCGGAGATAATTTAACGATAATCAAGAATTCTGTTTCAGTCAAAGCTCATCCATTTGTTCTGGCATTTAAAGTAAAATGAGTTGTTCCCTTAATTCCCCAAATCTTCCTCAACTTGTATCAGTTTCGCGCGAATCAAACGCATCATGACGCACATGGGAAGTGCCTTGGATCAAACAGTTGAACAGACCGGGATGGGATCGTACGAAACACAACAGGATGTTGGAATTTACAGTGACGTGAGTGGTATTGGTGGTGCTTCCTTAGAACTGGACTTCTATTGTATTTAGACCAGACGAGCTGTGGATTTTAATCTTGACCGTTCTTAATCAGTGAGGCCTAATTTGGTGCTCTGAAATCCTCGGGAAAGCATATTTACATAATTCAAAGTTGGACGCACATGATACGGTGATTAGAAGTAAATATGCCAATGACATTCAGAAAAATTCGAGTGTGAAGCTCAGCACGGTGACGCCATTCAGTAAGCACTTCAAAAAGTGGAAAGCTATGTGATTCACAAAAGGGTGAATGACGATAGGCAAAGGCCGCTGTTCAGGCTGTCCTTTTGTAAGTCACACCACAGAAGCACAATTACTGACATCCTAATAAAATGCACAAAAATGACCAATAAACAGAAGTTTGGAGTGTATTTTGTTTTACTAAGCACTAAATGCTACTAGATTCCTCCGGGTTTCGTGTAGTCTGAGACACTCAATCGTGGCAGGCTGACCATGTCACAGTGATTTGTAGACAGACCGTTTTCAACTGTGAGTTCCTCAAATAACCGTGTGCAGAGTGTGGATTACCTACAGGTTCTGTCGAAATTTGTAAGCAAAAGTATTTTCTATTCATTTTGAGCTTTACTTCCGTAATTTATTTTAAAACACACAATGTCTTTAAGGGTTGGGAATATAAAATTCTATACAGTTGAATATTGTTCAAATTGGCTCTGTACCATTCTGAACGGAATCGACATTGTATGGCCTTGGTTGACATGCTCTGTTTGACTGATGCCTGAGAAACAAAATTTGCTGAATAGCTGATTATGAGTAATATTTGAAGTCATGTAAATAAAATTCATCGCATCTGGTTTTCACACTTCGGGCATGAGTACTGATCCTATCAGGGGTAGTACTTTTTCTTTCTGATTAACAGAAATAAAAACAGAAGTAAAAATAACATTGTGTAAAAATACTTCGGCATGTGGTATTTTGTCAGTTGTTTCGCGGTTCACGGTAAACTCACTTGAAAAAGCTTTTGACTACTTAGATTACGTGACCTTGAAATCAAGATCATACAAACACGGTCCGTTTTTCATTCTTGTGGCGATGGACAAATTTACATTCATGACAGGAATCTTTCATCATGCTAGGAAATATGAATTTGATAAGGCTATGACGGCACATTTTGTACATCTTTCTGTAAAATAGTTTGCTCAGAACCTTCCCATGAAAGAACAAGTGTTTCTTCCCATTATTCATGAGTAAAATAAGTTACTCTAAGAGGCAGTGGGAAAACTCCAACACAATCGACTTGTGTAATGATGTTTTATGGGTTCGAATTATATTTAGTCAAAGAGCACGAAATATGTCCTCATAGAGTATTTATGTGTCAACTATTACAAGCCATAACAATGACAGTTAGGAATAAGTAGTCTGCTTAATCTTTTACCAGATCAAAAGCCAGCTTTATACGCCCAATGAGGTTGATAACTTGATACGATTGCGAAGAAATTCAAATTTCATTGTGAATTGTTTCGACTTTTAATTTACATCCCGTACTCTATAGCGAGACTAAGGACTCGTTAAAATGTTATCCATGGGAAGGAATTTCCAAAACACATTCATTCAGTGTCTTTTACGTTTTGAAACTCACTACATCCGTTGAAATGAAGTGGAATAACTCATTGCTACCTTAGTTGGTGAGGTATTTCCTATGACACTATGAACAATGAAGACCTCACTGGGTTGAAAAGTAACATTCTTCCAGTCCCCATCCGATTTTAAATTCTTCTTGGAGAAATAATTTGCTGCCATGTAATGCCTCGGATGGGTACCTTCCATGGGAGTTTTAATCCTACTGTCTTGGGTATATCCATTCATTTGTTTGGTGTATGCATTTACAGTAGCAAACCTGTGGAAATTTCAGAAGTCCAATCAAAACAAGTACCCCATAAAAGCCCTGATGGGGAGCTTTTTAAATGTTGGCGAATAACTTTCAGGCACTTTCTTCAAATTGATATAAAAGTACGTATCATGTTGTAACGCCTTTTGTTAAGGAAGCAAAAACTCTAAAAACTAAACATTTCATTCGAATTTCAACGGTGTCTGCATTAGAACTGCTGAAGCAGGATATTGAATTTAATACCTAATCCGTGTTGCTGGAATATATCGCTCCACACTAAATGTGAACAGATTTATTCCATTTTTCAATTTCTGTGGTTCATTTGTTCTGCGGTCTCACAGAGATTGTCGGATGTTCTATGTTAAAATATGTGAAGCCTAACGCAAATTCTGATTGTGTTTCTATGGTGCACATTTTCAACAGCTGTCTGGACGAAGGAAAGAAGAGGCAACATTTCTTCACAAAACTCCGTGGCCACTCTCCATTAGATTCAGTAGATTCTACATTTACAGTGGTCAGGTTCTTGACTGTCAACCATCTTGTAAAACACATCACACGATGAGATGTTCCATGCACTATCATCACTCTACCAAATCTTTAGAATCCTGAAAATATGGTTTGCACTGACATGTAATCGGGAATTAAAATGAATATACTGTCAGTCAGCACCTCAATAAACAGCAATAATATTTGCTTTTATGTTCCAAAGAACGCCTACAAAACTGGGTGCATCATCTCTTCTGCAATTCCTTTCAGGATCCGGTGATCAAAGATTAACTCAAACGTATCGCAGAACAACTCAGAATCCAGTGGAAACCTCTTATTTAGTTCGATGACATATGCAACTGATCCAGTTCCACTTGTTACCATCGTAGCTAAATCATGTTGTTTCGGAAATAAAATTTCACATGCCATCCGAATTGCTCACTTTTTGGGCAAGAAATTGGATGGTTACTAATGAAAATGTATAAAAAATAACACCTGTGACGCAAATGAAAATAGTAAAATGTATCCTTCTCAATAGGAGCACACGATGGATTTCACCAAGTCACATGGTCTTTGACCTCAACTTTCATATTGATTCCGTTTGTGAAAGACCGTACGGGGTTGACCGTCTTCTGGAACTTACCAATTAAAAGTCCAATGACATCAGAAACTACGGTAACAGTTGTGGCCACCGAAACAAATCAAGAACCTCCATCCGCATCTGAAAGATGTTATAGCTATTTAAATGCCATCATACCCAAGATCAACGACTCAACGGCTGTTCGAGCTCCAAGCTAATCACAATTAGTTACGGATAGCTTTAGTCATGGATAGCGGAAAAGAATTGACAAAGAGGGGAGTGAAACTTGAATCGCTGAGCAGTGATTCGAGACGATGCGGTTATTTTTGAACAATTTGATCGGAAGTAGATTCTACTCTCATTGTTTTTTCTATAGATCTTGTACGGACTTTCGAAATGAACAGCCACATAAACTCACAGAACTGGAAAGGAACAAGTTTCAAAAGACCGGTAACTGGTGCAGTAGACTATAACATTACACCTTTCATGATCCTAATTCAAGTCACGGTGTCGATATTTGCATCTTTTGATTGTAAAATCATCAAACAGTGTTGCACGACACCTGAATTTTAACTTTCAAAGAGAATTAGTATTCATTCGGTTAGCTTCATTCTGTGTGACTTATTAGGATTTACGAGGAAGTAAAGAGGCCGCTTTGAAGTCGTTCGTATTATTACAAACTCACTGTGACTTGGATAACCAGGTTGGATCACAGTACCAGAAACTGTTTGATTCATGTCTATCTTCTTTCCCATGTATTAAACACAGTGAAACAGATTCTTGACGAGCTGTTTTAGTTGAAACCATCAATCTACTTATGAAACCGAATATGCGGAACAATACTGATAATCGATTAAAAAATGACAACGTGAATCCACATTTCTCGCCTCGAGTCTAGTTCGTTCACGACCAAAGAAAGAACACAGTGAAATTGGCTGACATGAAACAAGACACTGACAGCCAACCTGCATTGTAAAACGACTGACGTAATCGTGTAATGCAAGCCTTGGTGCCCAATCCAACCGCTTTGCCAGTTCAGTTGAAATCAAAATGCATTCTGACGCACCAACGGATAGAATGTTCGCCTTGGCTGCAGCAATGATGTCGTGGGGCTTGATGAAAGCCGGTTTCAGTTTGACCACCACTTCCTGATTTGATGGGCGAATTCGATTGTCCTGGTGGAAATGTAGTCAGTGTAAGATCGATCAAGTACTGTGAGTACCAGAAGTCAAAATGTTCGTTCGATTGGACAAAAGTAAACCATAGAATAGCTGACGGGTAAGGCACAAACAAGCAAGACAAAAGAGTGACTCGTTCAATAAACCTTTCCATGCTCGTATCTCTGCTCAGTTACAAAATGTGACTATCGAAAAGAATTCCACAGCATTCTTGATTGGAATCCATGTGGAATATATGGCCTAAAGTCGCGGTCAGTGGTGGATTAGTTGCTGAATTTTGTGCTTCAAAATATAGAAAGCATGTTTTCCGCATTCTGTCAATTCATTATTTGGTTCCTATTCTGCATGTTGCGCTATGTACTAGGATACTTGCGATGAAATGTGAATACCTGAAAATTAAAAGACGCATTGCTTGCATGAAGACAGATGGTACACCTCTCCGTCAAGCTCAGAAGTTCTATATATATATATATATATATATATATATATTGTCTGAAAAATCCCACATAACACATCGAGAATAAACAACGTGGCGAACAAGCTCGTTTTCAGTTATTCGTACTCATACCAATATATCGTCAGAAGGACGGAGTTGCAATGGGATCACCTTTGGGGCCCCTATTTGCCGATATTTTCATGGCAAAAGTTGAAAATAATCAACTTGAACCAATAATCCGAGATTTTACCTTGTACAAACGATACGTAGACGACGTCATATGTGTGCTAGATACCAATCTGGACACAAATATGCTTCTTAACAATTTTAATGCTGCCCATCCCAATGTTCAATTTACTTTGGAAGAAGAAAAGGACAATAGTCTATCGTATTTAGACGTTTGCATAAGCCGTCGGAATGATTTTTCCGTCCAGTTATCAGTGCACAGAAAAGCTACATGGAACGGACAATACATCCATTTTCACAGCTTTGTGCCCCTCAAAATGAAGAGGAATCTAATACGTTGCTTAGTTAACAGAGCAAGAAAAATCTGCTCCGAAGACACAATAAGAAATGAACTCGTTTATCTGCGGAGTGGTTTTTTTAAATAACGGCTATCCTGAACGGTTTATTGACAAGACGATGCAAGAAAATGAAGGGAAATCAAAGGAGATAGGAGCCGCCAAGAAGATACTATATGCGCGTTTACCGTTCAAAGGCGACACGGAAGCCGAAATTATTCAACGAAGATTATCGGGAGTTATCAACAAAACATTCTACGCTGCACAGTTGCAAATCCTGTTCGTTTCCAAACCGATAGTGTGTTTTCGATTGAAGGACATAATGCCGAATTCTGCAACCTCGTTTTGTGTGTATTCCTTCACCTGTTCCTGTGGAACTAGGTACATTGGTCGCACGACTCGGCGCTTATCCGAACGCGTTCGCGAACACCACCCGGCCTGGCTGAACACGGGAGCAATTAAGACAATTACGAGTGCGGTGTGCTCACACCTTGTTGAATCAAACCACTCAGTCGAGGTGATAAACGCTTTTCGCACCATTTTCAAAGTCCGAGGAAAGCAATCAAGACTTGTCAAGTGTCGCATCTTAGCCAAAGCCGAAGCCGTGAGCATTCGTCTCTACAATCCTCCCCTGTGCGCTCAGAAACAATTTGTGCAAGCACTTAAGCTTCCGTGGCCCACGTCATGGTCCCGAACACATGTGCAACCACTTGAACATTCCACACTGTGATCAATTTCACATGCACACACGCACGTGCAGAGACAGATTTGGATTGCCATTGTCCGTTCTTATTTTGAGTCATATATATTGTTATGTATTGGTATGAGTACGAATAACTGAAAACGAGCTTGTTCGCCACGTTGTTTATATATATATATATATATATATATATATATATATATATATATATATATATATATATATATATATATATATATATATATATATATATATATATATATATTTTCAGAGACAAACAATTGTTTTCAATGATACATTCTGAAGTCTTTACAAATCATATAGGAGATGGTTGTGCTTAAATGGTCAAGGGTCATACGGATTAGGCATAGTCTGTGGGAGGGGCGGAGATGGAGTTAGATCGACGTGTCGATCCGAATGACTAGGTCGTGACTGTCACATTGTTCGGAGCTGAGTCACTGGGGTGGGGATGGTCCACTTGCGGCCAGGGTAATTGGAGGGCTTGAACGAATTTCCTCTGTGTACACAGAACAGGTGCGAAAAGATGGATGTTAATCGCCTCTGCAGTGGCCAGTGTGTGCAAGCGGATGTGTTTGTGGGGATTGGGGGCACTCGATAGACCACCCCCACCCCAGCGACTCAGCTCCGAACCATGTGACCGTCACGATTTAGTCATGCGGATCGACTCGTCGATCTGACCTCACCCCCACCCCTTCCCCTTCCCCCTCCCACAGATTATGTCCAATCCGAATGACCCTTGACCATTTTAGCACAACCATCTCCTATATGATTTGTAAAGACTTGAGAATGTATCATTGAAAACTATTGTCTGTCTCTGAAAACGCGTTCTGATGTCACAATGAGCATGTTCCGGAATATACCTATATTTACAGACACAATACAAAATCAGTATAGTAGTGTTTCTAAAACGAGAAACTGACCAAGTCCACGACTGTGGCCGTTCACGTCGATGAGTGCACCCCTTCCGGATGCTATTGTTTGCGAACACATGTTACAGTCATCATGTTACCGTTGACCAGCACTGAGTGGAGCGCCCGAATGACTGACTGAGTGGACCATCGATTCATTTGTGGACAACCTAACAAGGACTGGAAGCCACCGATGCAAGCTTTTGGGTACCACAGATCACTCAACAGTGCAACACTCAGAGGTAATGATTTCCCGTGTAATTAATAACAAACCGACCGGGTAAGCCATGATAGTGGCAAACTCAAAAGGAAATCAAAATAAATTATGGAGGAATAATGAACGAATCTGTCCATAGTCAGTCTGGGCCCAATATAAAAAGGGGGTGAATAATAGTAGTTCTTGATTTAAAAAAAGTCGATCAAGCGTTTTTCTGACAACATGATAAATCTTCTCTCATCATTTTTCTTGTAGGAGTCTTATACGGCTTCGAATTGACACCTGTGCTCATTGACAAAAGATCCAGGGTTCGACTGATTTCAACCCAAAATACCATCAGATATGGATGGATTTACTCATTTATTTGAAATCAGACTTTATGTGAGTAAATGTGCCTTATCAACCGAATAGGGACGGTGATGTATGCTTGGATATTAGTTCGTTCGATTTTGGTGTAACCACTTAACCGACAATACCAGGCAATCTGAACTCTTCGAAAAGAATAATAGGACAGCGAGTTACACCACTACGATCAGTAAGAGGGGATGGAGGTAACGTTTTATTTTCCAGTTTATTATTTGACAAACAAATATTTCATCGAGTGCCGACTCAATGCATAACCTGATCTGTTGGGGTCTGATTCAATTTATCACCGCTATCTTTCGGATTTAGTTTACCGGTTCTCTGTAATAGTGACGAGGTCTCAAACCAAGGATGCTATGAACCTCGT